AAAGAGAGATCAGATACAAAAGAAGCACATGCTCCTAAAAAAACTGTAAACTTTTTCAGCTTAATAACTATTTAAAAAGGAACCTAACAACTAACAGAACATTATTGTTGTTGATTTATGTTAATAAATACAATGTGACTTTTATTTTTATTTAGTGCATCAGTAAATAAATATTTTAAAATAGTTTAACGTGGAGAACCACTCTACTTGCTGGATCAGTCTGCTCTTCAAAACTGTTTCTGCTAATAATTTGGCTAGCATGTCATTTCAAAGAACAGTGCAAGTCAATCAGAATACCTCAAAGTCAGTGAATGAACAGTCAGTTAACCGCTTTGCAGTCATTTTTATCCCCAGTATTTTTTTTCCTGTTTTGTTTATTATTGTTGAATTATATATATATATATATATACAGGCAAATGCTAATGTTTCCACAATTAGTAATCACATTAACACCACAGAAGTACACCCATGCCTTAGTAAAGGTGGTACGTATGACTGACTGTTTACTCCAACTCTCAGACATTCTGGAACAATCTGCAGATTCTGAGATGCAAACATTTCTCTCCTAGACCAGGGAGAGGCAAAAAGGGTAGGTTAAAGGTACCTTTACAGGCCACCAGCTACAGGTAGCTTTGGAAGCAAAATGTAAAATACAGTCCATACAAAAAGCTATAAAATAAAGCTGTGGCTAGTTACAAATTACTCCTTAAGGATGAAGGTGTGGGAAAAAGCCTTTGTTTTGTGCAGGACTTACCACATTCAACATTAAAAAACAGTGGTACCAATAATCTTTCTTGCTATAATGACATGCTCATTGTAAGGTGTATCCATTCTATCTTGGCAACATTTACAAAGACTCCCTCTCTTAAACACAGTTAACTCAGACTTCCATGAGCAATGCCATAAAATAACCAGTGATATGAAGTTGGGCATTAATGTTCAAGTGGAATTTATAACTTTAATTTACAGAAATATATAAGTATTTACACCAATATATTCCCAATTTTAGAATAGGTGTTCAGTGTTTATTAATGCTAATGGAGTTAGTATCATCTCCTGCGTTCAGCATATAAGACTATAGTAGAAATCATGTAATTTTCATTCATTTGATTCAACATTCATGGTTTTTATCCCCAACTCTTCAAATTAGTAGTATGTTGTTAATTAAAAGTGTGCTTTTGACTGAAGTAGTTGATGAGCAAATAATCTGATGTGAACAAAGCAGAATACTTACAAGAGTCCTGATGTGGCAAACTGATGAACTGGGGAATCAACCCATCATTCCCACACACGATGACAGTTGACACTGACATCAGATCCTGCTCATGTATTACAGGCTTAATATTGTGTGTGTCTGGAATGGCAAAGGAAACAACCTGATTTGCATTCTGTGTAGCAACATCATGAGGCACTGCTACTTCAGGTGGTGAGTAGAGAGAAATTCCACTGAGTGAAGCTGCCTGCTGAATAGCGTCTGTAGAACCAGGTATCGTGATTGTCATAACCTGGCTAGTACCAGAAGTGGAAACTGATGGCTGTGATGTTACAACAAATGGAGGAGTCAACTGTGTTGTAAGTGCTAAAGAGTTTGATAAAATGTTGCTACCACTTTCAGCGATATGTGAAAATGAGGCACTGTTGTCCACAAATGCCAGGTTACCATCAAATAAAATAACTTCTCCAGCATTATTCACTACCTTAGCAGTATCTGAACTTCCTACACTATCATTTCTGTCACTTGCATCTAAAATCTGATTCGTTTCTTTCTGCAAGGAGTTAACTACGACTGGACTAGTGCTCGTCTCATGGCTTGGGGGGTTACAAGGCTTTTCTGAAGAATTATCAATGGAAGATGGAGTGATAAGTGTCTGAGTGTCTTCTGCACTGGCCGACATAGTCGTACAATCATTCTTTTGCGTCTGATGACTATGGCTTATTTCAGATGTTTTCTGGGATGCGATCTTGGCATCCACTATGCACTGGATGGCAGCAGCATTTTGGTCTTCGAGTGAGGTAACTTCCTTCTTCGTGTCTTTACCTGATGGTGCTGTGGGGCTCACTGGAAGTTTATAAAAACCACAGTCAAACTACCGAATCATCAGATAATGTGGCAACAATTACATGGAAATACTTTACGAAAAAGTAACCACACTGATTTTATTTATAGTTACTAGATGTAACATAAATCATTCTAACTTCATAAAGTATAGTCCTTACAAAGCTACATAGCCAAGAATTTCCCCATCTTTTATGAAACCTCATGAACAGAACCAATTTTGAGCCAGACAAATGCTGTTTACATCCTCACACCCTATTTCTATGACATCTATTTTAACATTATCAAGCCACTTATCCGTACATCTATTAAGTAGTCCCATCCCTTCAAGATTTCTGACCAGAATCCTGCACCTACAATTAATCATCAAACATGGAAAAAATTAACACCTTATGCATTACATGGGAATATGTAAAGACAGTTATGTAGAGTCTAGATATGTAGCTTTTTAAACACACATTACTGAAAGAAAAACATAACAGAACATCGAAGAACAAAACCATAATCTATCAGCTGACCCTGCTTCACCTTGAAGCTTCGTATCATGCCGGATGAACTGTCATGCAGAGCCGCAAAACCAACCTTTGCTTGCTCAAAAAACACTTGCACTCCCAATACCTTCATTGGTGAACACATACAAACTACAAACTTCATCTCATATACGAACATCACAAACAACTGAGCCTCTTTTCCTCACATTCTCACTTATTCCTGCAGCTAATAACTTTCGTATTTCTTCAGTGTTAGAAACCTCTTACTAACACTGGCTTATACCTTTTCTTAATTCTTTCAAATGACGAAAATGTTAGACTCATTCACGTGACACTCATGGCCAAGTGATGTTACACTCATATCACCAAACAACTTATTCACAATCTTATTTGGGAGAGGGAGGCTGTGATACCCTTAAGATTCTGCCACTTTTTATTACCAGTGTCAGATGTTTTTAAATTTTATGCCACTCAGCTGTCTAAGGTTAACTGCGAAACCAATTTAATGCAACTTTACTGAACTTAACAAGGTAAGAGCACAAGACTGGGTGAGAGTGATACAGTGATGCGAGAGAGAGATGTATGGGAATGTTGGGCAGATTAGGAGAACATACTAGATCAAGTGTTGGCTTATACAGCATTATAGGAAGTCTGGCAGATTGAATACACAAAAATTTTCTGTTTGTCAAATAACTGTTCACATTTGTCTTCGAGTGAACAAGAAAATCTGAGTTCACAGCAACTGATCTGATTCACAAAGACAAATATTGTGCAGTGGAAAACAATGGATGCTACCATCTACCAAGAACACTGAGCCGACTAGATTTGGCCATGATGTTGTGATGGTGAAACTTCGAAAGGGGTGCGAATGCGTGTGGGTAGGTTAGGCCAGTTTAGGTGAGGGGGCTGATTTGGGGAGACCTCTTCTCGCCAGCACACGGACGCTCACTCAGGCTGTAGCTACGGATTCGGTCGGCAACATCTCTCCAGCTGGACACCCCTTTCGAGGCAACCTTGGTTTGTATTTGTTTTCACATTGTAGTTGCCCATCCAAATAGGTACTGATTGTGTTGTGTTGTGGACGGGGCAACCACCATGTTTTGGGGTTATTCTTGGTCCCTCGGGGTGGTCAAGGCCGGGGAGACAAATTGGAGTGTTGCCGAGAGCGAGCCGAGTCATGGGGCTTTTTGTTTTCTTCTTATATGTTTTGTTTGTGAGTTTCTTTGTTTGTAATAGGGTAATCAATGACCCCGTGTAACGTGTATGTATTACAATTTGTCTTAAGAAAGTAAATGGTTTTGTTTCTAATTGTACTTTGCTGTGTTTTGAGTACACCCTTTTCAGGAGCGTGGGCCAAGTGAACCTACGACATATAGAACAGAACACCTCCTCCCCCTTTCGACTGTTGTTGAAAAGGGGAGAGTGGATCAACACGATAAAACTCTGACAGTTTCTCTCACAGATGACAATCAAACAGTGTATCTAGGTCCTTCCATAAAGGTTTTATTCACGAGTAAATTTGTAAAGATAATTTATATATATATATCCTGCAAATTCTGGAAGCAATAAGCACACTTCAAAAACTTATACAACTTGTTTTTCCAAAAAACTTTAAACAAAAACCAAAACAGGGTTTGCTGCTACCATCGTCAAGGTGATGAGCCACCACCATGATGATAGAGACAGCAAGGACCTCTGAAATGTTGGCAAACGTCTACCAAACTACAGGGCGCTAGAACCCAGAAGACAGTCATCTTAAAACCCAAAATAATGAACAGGTTAGGAAAGTACAAAACCTACATTACACATGTCAAGCATACAAAGCAAAATAATTTTATTTTCCAGTGCAGTTGTTGACTATGACATTGTAGCTCATGAACATGCACATAATAACAGTGTAATATCCCACAACACTAAATGCTCTTTGATACCATAATCTCTACATTTCAGATGACAAACCTCATACATTTTCCCTCAATTTGTTCAGCCACTATTTTTATTACTACCATTAGTGCTAAATTAAGGGTTTGTTTGTTCACATACCTCATAAATAATTAACTCGTCTTCTCAAAGAGCAATTTACATACCTGAGTTAGAACCAAAGGCTGCATCACACTTATGTTGCCTTGCACTTCGGAGCCTCTGTTTAAGGGGAACATCACTGCTCAACTGCCCAGAATTGTCTTTACCCAGTTTCTGCTCTTGAAACTGCTGATGACAATTAATCATCAAACATGGAAAAAATTAACACCTTATGCATTACATGGGAATATGTAAAGACAGTTATGTAGAGTCTAGATATGTAGCTTTTTAAACACACATTACTGAAAGAAAAACATAACAGAACATCGAAGAACAAAACCATAATCTATCAGCTGACCCTGCTTCACCTTGAAGCTTCGTATCATGCCGGATGAACTGTCATGCAGAGCCGCAAAACCAACCTTTGCTTGCTCAAAAAACACTTGCACTCCCAATACCTTCATTGGTGAACACATACAAACTACAAACTTCATCTCATATACGAACATCACAAACAACTGAGCCTCTTTTCCTCACATTCTCACTTATTCCTGCAGCTAATAACTTTCGTATTTCTTCAGTGTTAGAAACCTCTTACTAACACTGGCTTATACCTTTTCTTAATTCTTTCAAATGACGAAAATGTTAGACTCATTCACGTGACACTCATGGCCAAGTGATGTTACACTCATATCACCAAACAACTTATTCACAATCTTATTTGGGAGAGGGAGGCTGTGATACCCTTAAGATTCTGCCACTTTTTATTACCAGTGTCAGATGTTTTTAAATTTTATGCCACTCAGCTGTCTAAGGTTAACTGCGAAACCAATTTAATGCAACTTTACTGAACTTAACAAGGTAAGAGCACAAGACTGGGTGAGAGTGATACAGTGATGCGAGAGAGAGATGTATGGGAATGTTGGGCAGATTAGGAGAACATACTAGATCAAGTGTTGGCTTATACAGCATTATAGGAAGTCTGGCAGATTGAATACACAAAAATTTTCTGTTTGTCAAATAACTGTTCACATTTGTCTTCGAGTGAACAAGAAAATCTGAGTTCACAGCAACTGATCTGATTCACAAAGACAAATATTGTGCAGTGGAAAACAATGGATGCTACCATCTACCAAGAACACTGAGCCGACTAGATTTGGCCATGATGTTGTGACGATGAAACTTCGAAAGGGATGCGCATGCGTGTGGGTAGGTTAGGCCGGTTTAGGCGAGGGGGCTGATTTGGGGAGACCTCTTCTCGCCAGCACACGGACGCTCACTCAGGCTGTAGCTACGGATTCGGTCGGCAACATCTCTCCAGCTGGACACCCCTTTCGAGGCAACCTTGGTTTGTATTTGTTTTCACATTGTAGTTGCCCATCCAAATAGGTACTGATTGTGTTGTGTTGTGGACGGGGCAACCACCATGTTTTGGGGTTATTCTTGGTCCCTCGGGGTGGTCAAGGCCGGGGAGACAAATTGGAGTGTTGCCGAGAGCGAGCCGAGTCATGGGGCTTTTTGTTTTCTTCTTATATGTTTTGTTTGTGAGTTTCTTTGTTTGTAATAGGGTAATCAATGACCCCGTGTAACGTGTATGTATTACAATTTGTCTTAAGAAAGTAAATGGTTTTGTTTCTAATTGTACTTTGCTGTGTTTTGAGTACACCCTTTTCAGGAGCGTGGGCCAAGTGAACCTACGACATATAGAACAGAACACCTCCTCCCCCTTTCGACTGTTGTTGAAAAGGGGAGAGTGGATCAACACGATAAAACTCTGACAGTTTCTCTCACAGATGACAATCAAACAGTGTATCTAGGTCCTTCCATAAAGGTTTTATTCACGAGTAAATTTGTAAAGATAATTTATATATATATATCCTGCAAATTCTGGAAGCAATAAGCACACTTCAAAAACTTATACAACTTGTTTTTCCAAAAAACTTTAAACAAAAACCAAAACAGGGTTTGCTGCTACCATCGTCAAGGTGATGAGCCACCACCATGATGATAGAGACAGCAAGGACCTCTGAAATGTTGGCAAACGTCTACCAAACTACAGGGCGCTAGAACCCAGAAGACAGTCATCTTAAAACCCAAAATAATGAACAGGTTAGGAAAGTACAAAACCTACATTACACATGTCAAGCATACAAAGCAAAATAATTTTATTTTCCAGTGCAGTTGTTGACTATGACATTGTAGCTCATGAACATGCACATAATAACAGTGTAATATCCCACAACACTAAATGCTCTTTGATACCATAATCTCTACATTTCAGATGACAAACCTCATACATTTTCCCTCAATTTGTTCAGCCACTATTTTTATTACTACCATTAGTGCTAAATTAAGGGTTTGTTTGTTCACATACCTCATAAATAATTAACTCGTCTTCTCAAAGAGCAATTTACATACCTGAGTTAGAACCAAAGGCTGCATCACACTTATGTTGCCTTGCACTTCGGAGCCTCTGTTTAAGGGGAACATCACTGCTCAACTGCCCAGAATTGTCTTTACCCAGTTTCTGCTCTTGAAACTGCTGATGACCTTTCGAACAGTCTGTTATTGCTGCCAATGGTGATGCTGACTTCTTGTTAGTCGTATAGCTGCTACCCTCACTGCCAGTACTAACATCCCTTATCTCCTTTGTTGTAACAGCAAGGTCTGGAGCAGCATCATCGCCTTCACTTTGCATCTCCGCTGGGCTTGGTGTCATCTCTTCATCTAATGGGCCTGCAACGTAATGTGACAATTAATAGCTAAACTATCTCACAGAGATAGTGAGAATTACTCTAAAACCAGTACAGACATTGGTTTGGAAATATTTGTAGATAAAACAAAGTGTATCATTGTGGCATCAAACCAAAATCTTGGACAAATTCACAATGTAAAATAAGATATTTCCGGTGGATATCTATGTCGAACCTGATGGCTCATTAGGCCACAAGGTTTATTGGCATATTCATCGCCCTGATTATGGAGGCAGTATGACCTCTGAAACGTTGGTAAACATCGACCAGACTACACAACGCAACAACCCAGAAGACAGAAATCTTCATACTCATCGCCCTGATGACGGAGGCAGTATGACCTCTGAAACATTGGTTAACATCGACCAGACTACACAACGCAACAACCTAGAAGACAGAAATCTTCATACTCATCGCCCTGATGACGGAGGCAGTATGACCTCTGAAACATTGGTTAACATCGACCAGACTACACAACGCAACAACCTAGAAGACAGAAATCTTCATACTCATCGCCCTGATGACGGAGGCAGTATGACCTCTGAAACATTGGTTAACATCAACCAGACTACACAGCGCAACAACCTAGAAGACAGAAATCTTCATACTCATCGCCCTGAT